CTTATGATGATAACATCTTTTGCAGTGAAGTAAAAGACAAAGATGAAGTTTCTAATGTCAGACCTGGCTATAATTTTTTCATGTCTTTTTTAACTTATTGCTTCCCAGTTTACAATGTAACAGGAGTAAACCATAACAGCTTCCAATCTCTGATACTGTTTTAAACTACATTTAATTCCTGTGGTGCTGCTGTGCTAGGGAGCTGTATTAGTTCCTGATGCATGACACTATGCAAGTATTTCACTTAGTGTTGTTGCAATTACTGGAAAAGATGGTGACAATGTGCTGAGTCATTTAGATGTGAAAACTTTGTGGTTAGAGTCTACAGAACTTTGCATTGCTGTAGCCACTTTCATACCACCGAACAAAAGCTCTGACCCCCATGACTGCCCTGTAGCTTCACTCCTCATCTACACCTGAACCCATAAAGCACAGAGAAATTATAACTTTGTGGTACCATCAGGTTTATGTCAAGGCACTAGAACTACCAGAATGATCCTCTGATGGCCTTTCCATACTGCTGTAGTAACCAAGTAATTTATTAGCTGTCTTCCTTCCATGATTATACACGCTGGAGATTTTATGTCTAGTTTCATCTGATCACTTTTAGCCTCTTTCCCCTCTGGGGGTATGATCCACTTCTGGTACTGCTCAACACAATTTTCACATATAGTGAAATAACTAGCAGGACATAAGAACGGGAATGAAAAATCCCTGACTGAACTGAGTGTGGCAAAAACTGAGTCAATTTAGTCTTAATACCTAAATAGAGGATGATGTTCAGACTCCAAACTCTGGAGGAGTGGTACGGTCTACAGTTTGCTTTTTCTACAAGTGTGTTTTGCAAGAAGAAAAGCACTTGCAAAAGCTTTGCTTGAGAGACCTGTTAAATTTTCAAAAGGCTGTCCAGAATGCTCCGCATCCCCTGCAAGAAGCTCAACCTAAAGCATGTCCGTTGTCAGTAATAACAGGATTGTAAAGAAAGTCTACTCATTTTATACTGAATTCTCTTCCTGCCTCATGCCATATACCTTTTACCACAACAAAATTCTTTACCTTTTAGGCAGGTCATGTGTTATTGCTTCTGTCATCTTTCTATGGAATAAAAAGAATATATCAATCCTTGTAAGACCTCCAGATAAAGCAAGAGCAGTCATAAGCTAGTATGCAGATCAGGTCTATTGTTAGTGGATGTGAATTCTAGAGGTGAAAACAGCTTGTGTAATAAACTGGTTTGGAGTTTGGGCAACTTCAGAAAAGGCTGGCAGTCATACTGGAGTGTATTTCACCTGTTAAAAGGCATTAATCTGTAATACTGCAGTGGTCTTAGCTTGTGTGCGTTTTTAGGGGGAAGGGGTAGCAAATCTGCCTAATGTAAAACTTAAATCCATTAAGTAAAGATAGAGGCTTTTATGCTGATAGGCATATATGCATGAACTTCTGTTGTCTGCTCTCACCCAAATTTAAATTGCAGAAGAAGATGCATTAATCTTTTTTCCAAATGTAAAACTGATACTGTAGCAGCAAAAATTTGTATTGATATCAATAAAGCCAGCTAGAAGTAAGACTGAGATGATTGTTCTGGACAACTGAAGCTCGTGGGTTTTGAGGGACTGCTGGAGAGTACAAAGTAAAGTACAGTTCAGTGCAGGCTTATGTTCTGACCAGAACTGCTGTCTTCTGACACAATGAGAAAAGCTACTGTACAAAGCTGACCTTGGCTTCTGCATTGTTCCAGACCTCCTGAATCTGCCAGTTAGCACAATCCCACTTGCAGTGGCTTTTCTCCTGGTCAGGACCCCATGGGGGGATTCAGCTAGTCTGCTGCTTTGCTACAAGACCATTGTGGCCTTTCTGGCTCAGCGTATCTGGCTTTTCCCCACAGGGGAAGGGGCTGATATGGTGTTAAGCTTCATGTAGGCTGGGGGATACTGGGGCAGGAGAAGTAACCAGTTTCAAGGGAGCAACTGCCAGGCAATCTTGGTTGATTGTCAGTGCAGCTCTCTAGCTTATTATATATAAAGGCATTGGGCTAGTTGGGTGGGGAAGGCTGACTGTGGTAAGATGATGGGAGTTCTCTTGGAAATGGAGTATTGATAAACACCTCCGAGTGATTGCAAGACTTTCTGGCCAAGGTTAGGACCCCTGTTATTTCTTTAAGGAAAAAAAAAATTGGTGTTGTTTAGGACTATTCAAGTTCAGTTATGATATGTACTTTGTAACTTTGTTTCTTTATTTTGAAAGCTATATGTGATGCTGTACATGTTTGGTATCTTTCATACAGCTTGAATGCACGGTGTGCAGGTTTCAGCAAGGGTTATTGCTATAGGAGGCTAGTATGGCCTTCTTAACTGCTCTTTATCTTTAAAGCTTTTTTTGTATGGGAGAGCAGTAGGCAGGAAGGGATTCAGTCACTGGTAATGTCCCTCACTGTGGTAACTGATCACAGCCATGTTTACCTACAGCATGCACAGCTGTCTGAGAAATGGTAACTGCCTGATAACCTTTTCCACAATTCAAAAAAACCCTTAGTTTTAATATGTAATGATTATGCTGTCTACATTCCTCGCTAGTAACAGTCTAGCAACCCTTTCTGCAACTAATCAATGCAACTTGATAGATATATATGTAAGAAACTTTTGGAAAAACTTAAGATTTTAATTACAAAGACAGAAATCCCCCACAGATCTCCAACAACTGAATAGGGAGGACTATTGGGATTGTTCCCCGTGCTGCTTCAGATTCATGTGCAGTCTCATGTAAATAACAGCAAGTGATGTCCATTTCTAGACCATTTTGGGGCCAAACTGAAGAAATCTTTCTGTAGAAGCCTGAGTTTGGTAACAGAGCACTGTAGACCTTGAGATTATACTGTTTGTTTTGTGGGCCTGTCCTATGGTGTAAAGGGCTATACTGCCTGAATTGGACACAAGACTTGGTGTTTTAGCGCAGTCGGAGGCGTTCCCATGTAACAGGAATTAATGGCGAGACTGACATCTCAACAAACAGGGAAGCTGAGAAGGAGTTCCTCATAGCCTGTGTGGTGCCATATGCAGTGACTGGTTTAATATAACTAAATTTAACCCTGTGCAACTCCATTAAAAAAACAAACACAAAAAGCAATCAAAAAACCCCAACAAAATCCCCACAATCTAAAGGTAAATCTTCTTTAGGTGACAATTGATCTGCAGAAGTATTACAAGCCTTCTAGCCAAACTCTTTCCTAGTGGCATTTGATTCATGAAAACAGTGGGCACATGGTACAACAATTTGCAGTAAGGTTATACCAGAAACACCTTTTAGACATAAGAATCCAGCCTGGAAAGGCCTAGGGAGACAATGCGAGTTACTTATATAAAAGTTCTGTGTACACTGTTTAGAAGACTTGTACCAGTAATGTGTCTCTTCCAGTGACATAGTCATCAAGATGCAGGTTTGGTGCCTGGCTTGTTGGCCTTAGAGTCCATGGCATAAATGCTGCTTCTAATATGGAGGGAAAAAGCTTACCTCTTGCATGCTCCTTGTTCTCGCACAGGGGATAATGAGGTGGTAGTGAAGAAATTCATGTGTAACTTCCACTCCTCAGAATATGCTGGGCGGTGATGTTGTTTTATACAGTATCATACTTTAAAAGCTGAACAGCCAGAAATAGTCCGCTTTATAGTTCTCTGGAACTTCAATGTAGCTGCTGCTGCTTTCAGGCAATTCTAACAGCTGCTTAGTCAACCTTTTCTGAAAATGTCTACAGGGGAACGAGCTAATCGGTATGCTGAAGTACCAACATTAAAATGAGGCAATTGAGCTAGAAAAGCATTCTGTTGAACAGCATCCCTTGTCAAGTTCTTTCACCTAATGAATCTCTGGCTCTCTCTGAGAAGATGATAATACCCAGTTCTTCTTGTAACTATTTGTCCTTGCTAATCAAAGGCGGACTTGAATGTTGTTTATAAACAGAGGACAACTATGTTTCCAATTAAAATTCTTACTTTCTCTATCTAGTCTAAAACTGTATATGCACTAAATGCAAAAAGCTGAAGTGATGATACACTGCAAAACTAAATTATAAAGTGCAGGGACTAATTTTCCCAATGAAGACTTCTGAACAAAGCAAAAAGCTATTTCTGATAGCCTGAACTTCCCAAGCAACATGCTAGTGCTCGACACTGCTGTTCCCACTCCAGTACAAACACTGCGTGATGGTCTGGCCTTACAAACAGAATAATAACTGAACAGGCACTCTAATTCTATATTTCAAGTATACTGACTACAATAGTTTTACTTAAGAAAAGGCTTTAATTGACTATACTCACTGACCATTAGTTTTCTTCTTGATGTTTTTTAAAATAATTGTACTTTAACTATTCTGATAATCTTGTATCAAATCCTGGGACTGCTGTAGAACTCCTGCAGTTGGAAATTATTCTAGAGAACATCTTAGTCTTAAAAGCTGAAGTCAAAGGTAATAGGTTTAGCTAGAACTGTTAAACTAGCTCCTTTTAAGCTTGTCCCTAAGGAAAAAAATCTATAATATAGGTGACTCCTTCAGAAGATGCTTTGAAGGCTGTTAGCTGTGGAACTTACAGAAACCCTTGTTACTCACCCTCCAGGAAAAAGGGTCTGGGTTTGCTTAAGTCTCTAGTTGAAGTGACTAGGTTTATCTAAATCTTGCAGAAGCTTTTTTTGAGGAAAGAATGATTTGTGTATAGCTGTGGTCATAGTGTTTTTAGGCATTACTTCTAAAAGAACACTACTCAACAATTAAAAAAAAAATAAATATCAAATTGGTAGCTGAGATTGCAAACTGCTTTTTAGCATCTGACTTGTATGGTACACATAATGGCAGTTACAATGAGATAATACAGGATGGAAGAGGCAGTGGTGTATGAACTAGGTGACTAGACCTGAATGCCCAACTCGTATATACTAACCTGGTACAGAAGCCCATTTATATTGACAACAGTTCATGCCTAAAGGTATTCTGTCACTATCCTCTCTTTCAGGCCAAGAGCGCTTCGGTAATATGACCAGAGTATATTACAAAGAGGCAGTTGGTGCTTTCGTGGTCTTTGATGTCACAAGAGGCTCCACTTTTGAGGCTGTTTCAAAATGGAAGCATGATTTGGACAGTAAAGTACTACTTCCCAATGGCAGCCCCATCCCTGCTGTGCTTCTTGCAAACAAGTGTGACCAAAAGAAAGATGGCAGCCAGAATCCCTCTCAAATGGACCAGTTCTGCAGAGAAGGTGGCTTTGTTGGATGGTTTGAAACATCTGCCAAGGTGAGCATAAAGATGAAACACATTTTAAGTCTTCTAAGTATTGGCATAGGAATGGATGAATGTAGTCGTGTGGGGGAGAAAATTGTCAAGTACGGGAAGTGACAGTCAAGTCTCCAGTGTTCAGCAAAAGTTGGAAGTGGTGTGCAGGCTAGCTCACGCCTGAGGAAGACTTGAGGCATATTTGGTTTAGATTAGAACTGCATCTTAAATTCAGAGAACCTTAAAACCCTCTGGAAACCTTGATTAACTAAGTTGGTAAGTTTTTCTTTATCTTGTGTGCATCGGCATCATTCCTTAGATGTTAATACTACTAAATGCTGATCAAACTATCCAAAAGATAAAAGTAATCTTTAAGTGCAGCTTTTTAAATTGCAGCTTCTGTCATCACTGCACGTAGGAAGTGGTAAGACTCCAGAAGCGAACAAGCTATTTGCTCACTTGTTACTACCTACCCAGATGATAATGTCACTAAAGCACTTTTCTGTTTTATCAGACACCTCTCAAGACTGAACTGGAGAAAAACAAGTTGTTCTGTGTAATAACTTAAGCTAAGACATACAGCTGCTTTAGTCAAACAGATAACTGAGTAACTTCATATGTTGTACGCTTTTAGTCTATAGACTTGGTCAATGCACAGATAAGCTTGTGGTAACTTAGTTGGAAGTAGAATCAAACAGTTCCTTAAAACTCAATTGATCCTTAAAAATGAAAGGGTCTAGATGAAGACAATGTGGATGACAGACTAAATTACTGGTCTGGCTGGTAACTTCTTTATGGTAAGCTAAACCTCAAGGTCCCTCTTTCAAAAATCCCTTGGTTCGCCTACTTCCTTTAACTGCTGCTGATGAACTGGCACAAAATGATCCTTCGACAACTATTTTAAAGAAGAAAAAGTCTGTAGGAGGAATATAAGAAATAAAGTAACAAGCCTCTTCCTGATCACTTTAAAATAAGGAAGAAGTGCACAGTGGAAGGTACACAGTGACAGGAATTAGTTAAATTAGCTAATCATTTGTTTGCATTGGAACAAATAATTCCTAACCCCACCCATCTGTTACTTAACTCACATTTCGAGGCTCTTTATACCCAAAAAGAATACTAAGATTCTGCTTTGGGTTATGTCTTCCCTGAAGCTTCAACTGCCCATAATACTGCTATATATATATATATAAGTGGAAGTGTAGTAACAGCTTGTGTTTTAGGTAGCATTTAAGACACCACAGTGTAAAACAAGGCTCTTCATGCAGAGAAAAGTCCAGACAATATTAGTCCTGATTCAGTTATGAATTGACTTGGTTAGGACACTGGAGAGGTGTAGTTAAAATAGCTTAGCAAAATTCAGGATAGCTTTCTTGTTTTCTAAGCATACCAAGTTGGTTTATGGTTTTAAGTCCTGCTCACTTAAATATCCTCATAGTCTGCTTTTGCCTTTCTGCTAGAACTGATACTTGAATCTTCAGTCTAGTCATCAGTAACATAGGTCCCACTCCCTGTGGATTAGGGACAATATTAAAAGCAAAAGAACTGCAGAGAGTATAAGTATTCATAGAAATAGCTTATGAACTTCCTTACACTAAAATGAGGAGAATCCTCCTCCACTCCGGACAGGGAAAAGTGCCTATCTGCAAACAGCCAAAAGCAGTTTGTGGCTGACAACCGCAAGCTTGTAAAGTGCAGTAGTGATGAGTCAAATGTTCTCATGACCTAACCTTGCTCATGTAGAGTTTAGATCTACAATTGCAGAGACAGGAGAGAGTACTGGGATGGTATTTCCTTTGAAACCAAAGATGAGCAATTCCAAACACGGCAGCCCTGTGGTGAGCTAATGGGGGGCCCAGCCAGGTCAAAGGTGTGGCCAAAGACCCCTTGGAACTGGCCAGCTTGGACCCTCAGTAACTGAGTTACCCTAATGAAATGCATCTCTAGGTATCCTGCATACACGTGCTTCAAAGCATGCATAAGAAAATGTAGAGTGGCTAGATGAGGCACCCTGATTTAGATGGGGTTTTGAGGCTGGTAGAAAAGATCCTTTTACATAAATAAGTGCATCCAAACTGCAGCAGAAGCAGAAAAAGACCCCCAAAGGTAGAACACTACTGTGAAAAGTGTAACTACCCATTATCTTTCCTGTTGCAGAAATGCACTTTGGCATTTGTAAGCCTTCCAAATGTAGGTGACGCTTTACCCCAACTGCATACAAGATTAGAGTTGAAGTATCCTATTTGTAATACGGGTGAATTACTTTGTCTTGAACATTTCTGGTTGGTGGTTTGTTTTGTTTTTTTTTCAAAAAGCAAGTGTATGACCAATGACCTGATACTTCTAAGCTGTTTGTGTCATGCTGATGAGACTGTAGAAGAGCCTTTGTATTTGGCCAGCTTCTAATAGGAACGTGTAACTATTTCAAAAAATAACTGACTTCTTTCCTTTCAAAATTTTTAGGACAACATCAACATAGATGAAGCTGCTCGATTCTTGGTGGAAAACATCCTTGCAAACTACAAAACCTTTCCTAATGAAGAGAATGACGTGGGGAAACCAAAACTGGACCTAGACCCATTGAAAGCAGAGAGTAAATCGCAGTGCTGCTAATGCTACCACAGTTCAGTAAATGTGATGGGATGAGCAGCAAGACTGTTCCTTAAATCAAGCTGCTGCTATGGTGCTGCATTGTGACAATCCATATGGGGTGTCTGGTATTATCTGAATAGGTGATTCTTGTGGGTGTTTACTTATTCTTGTTTAGCATGAAACTGAGTACCTTGTGAGTTACCACTCCACTTGCTTGAGTGGCTGCATTTAAGTCTGATTAGTGCCTTCTTACTTGAGAACATAAGGTAGTGTTTACACTCCTAAAAAGGAACAAAGACAACATGCGGTGTCTAATTTGCTTCTAGGACATATGCTACATTCCAAATAGGACTCACTCATCATGGTTTTAGCTGAATAGACACTTGCACCTTTAAAGTAAACTTTCTTTTGCACCAGTAGTGTCCTACTTCAGCCTTCTCACCTACACGCTTGTCCCTATTTATTATTCCCCACTGTGAGGATCTGTCTAGTTCTCCTGGATCAAGACATCCCAGAAATCTTGAAGTGGCCAATGATGGATGGGAGGTATCATAGTGTGTTCACTAGGACTGAGTGAAGTAGATGGCTTTTACCACTGATTAAGAACAAGATGGGTAAATGACTGTACTTAACAGGGTAAAAGCGTGGCTATAGATATACTAACAAAAATGCATCTCCAGCCATTTAAGCCAGAATATTTTCAGCTAATACTTTACATATGAAACACATTAATGAATACAGTTGTACTCCTGGCACATAGTTATGGTAACCTCACCCATATGCACATCCAGAAACTTTTTCATGCACTAACACTGAAAACTTTACCCAGAGTGCAAAAAGTAAATATCTTACTGTGCTGTGCTAATGAACTTGCTTCTTTTTCCTTCTGTCTTGAGATGGTTCTGAATACCATGAGGGAGGGGAGTGGTACTGAAGGAAATAGCTTAACTGGTTCTTGCTAGCCTATAAAAAAAACAACACAAACCAACAACCCCAAAATAAAAACCCAACCCAAACTCTCTTTCTTTCAATTTTAGAACAGTGCTGCACTCTTCTGACTACTTGGAGCTGGTGAACTTGCTTACCAGTTTGTAACTCTGTGTACTGAGATGGTTATTTCCTTGTTATAACTCATATGTATTTTTGGCAGCAAATGAAGATCAAAAGGATTAGAGAGTTTTCACAGTCCTTGAATACATTCTGGAACTCTGGCTCTGTTTGGCTGAAAGGCTTTGAAGCTCTTCTTTATTTTAAGGGTTTCTTCTGTCCTAGTACCTCATTGCTACTGACTTCCGAAGTCTTATCTTGCTTGGTCTGATGGTGCTTATGTTTACTTAAACATCATCATGAAGTATGTGCCAGACTGAATATACTTTAATCTGTATTGAGATTTTCTAGGCTGTCTTTTTTTTTTTTCTAAAGAATAACGTACTTTTTAAGAGACAAATAAATATATTTGGGCATCTTACATATGTTGTTGGTGTATGCTTTTGAGAACATGAATCTTTACATCATGTGTCCCACCTTATACACAAGTACTTTCATTGACATTTGAAAGCAACTTTAGCTTCTAGTAGCTGCCATGTTAAAGGCTTATTTTAAATTACCATGGTAAGGCTTGGCATAAGGTAAAACTGTGTTTAACTAGCTTAGGATCATAAGATAATTCAGCTGAAAGGGTTTCTTGGGAAGTCTTCTAAGCCAGCATCCTTATCCAAGCAAGGTCATACCAAGGTGCTTAGGTTTTCATGTGGTCTGGTGTTAAACCTCCAACAATGCAGACTGTATGGCCCTGGGGAAGTTGTTTCAATGCCTGACTGTCCCCTGAGACTATCTAGTCTGAACCTTTCTAACTTCAGCTTATGCCCATGGCCTCTCATCTTCCTACCACACACCACTGTAAAGAATGTGTCCATTTGGCTTGTGTGGATTTATTGAACACTTAAAGCTTGACTCCTACTTTAAAATTTTTTTTGAAAGCCTGTAGCACTTCAGAAAGGCAGTGGCAACCTATCTGTGTTCCTTGCCTGCTGGCTTGTTTGTGGTGTCAACCATTCTAGCTAACCTGGAACTACCATAATCTTCCTATTCGGTCACCTGCAGAACAACTCAATTTAGACTGTAAACTAGCTATTAATAAGCTGTTTAATCTCCAGTGTACTGTCTTTTTCTAAACTTTATAGCTGCACAAATCAGTAACTAGCCAATGGAACATGTGTATAGCCTGTTTATTTGATGTTTCTTGACTATATCAAAGCATGATGAATCTTGCTGACCAGTCAAACTTAAGATGCAATTTCTTGTTCACTTGGCTTCAACTGTAAGTTTACTGAACCTATGCAATATAACATGAAGCTTGTCACTAATGGGCAAAAAAAGGCCAATTCTTGAGTCTGTCTCGTATGGCGTACAAATTCTACATTCATGGCATACAAAAATCTACATTCAAATACTAGTTGCTTAAATACTTTACCGGGGAAACTGCCAGTGGATGTGGACTTTTTTCTTTCCAAACAGCTATTGTCCTTTTTCTTGATTTGAGTTTTCAGATTCAACAGCAGAATAAAAACCAAACTCTGAAGCTTTTGGACTGTACCTGAATGTACGAATCTCACCTGGTTCCTGTCAGTGATGATGTAATCCTATGCAGATTAGTTTCAAGAATGTTTAAATTTCTGCTTGAAGAGCTATTGCTGCTATGTTTAAGCACTTTCCTTATTTTGTATGTAGCTTGTGTTCTTCTAAATCTCTACATGAATGCAGAATGGCTGTGAAACTGTGGTGGAGTATACTAGTTTTGATACAGGTTGTCACTTACTGTAGAAGCTGAGGCAGGGTGAGGTTTGGGAACTGCCATCTATAAACATAAAACCCTAAAGTTTTAAAGTGACTATGCAGATTGTATTACAAAGCAGAGACTTGTATTTCTGAAGTTCTAGTAGTATAAAAAACAACTTGACTTATACCTGCATGATTTTTTTTTTTCCCCCCAACTTTCCAGGGGAAAATTGAGCTTTAATAGGTGGTTAGTCTTCCTTTGTGCTACAAACTGCATTTTTTACTCCTTTTCCTTGAAGGGCATGTTACTATGTTTGAGACTGGTGGGGTGGATCAGGAAATCTGATCCAGCCAGAAGGCAAAAACTATGAAAAGACTGGTATTCTAGCCTCAGGAAGGGAATGGAAACATCTCTTTGGTAGAGGAGAATGAGACTGTAGTTTGTGGAGAAGTGTTTAGGTCAATTAAACTAGTCATGAAGCCCAGTCCTAATTAACCCAAAAACTTTGATTTGGAAAGATCTTTGGAAGCTTAGACAGACCCAATTACCCAATTTAACTTTAGGCTAATAAGTGAGTAAAAAGTGTCAAACATCATTTGTTTTACATATACAGGATATATAGTAAAGTAATGATTCACCTCAATCAGATTAAGAGAAGCCCCATGCTATTTTATTTCATTCCCTTTTGCAGTCTGAAATATGTCAATCTCAAATGAGCAATTACCTGATTGCCTAGTCCCTATACTTAAGCAACAGTTTTGAGATTAAAAACTTGAGTAAAAGCCTGAATCAGTGCCTCAGTAAAATGTCTTTCCTGGCATGTTTCCATCAACTGATTTTGTAAAGGCTGAAGATGGCATATAGTCTTCCTAGATAGTAGTTGTGCAGTATGCCTGTGCGGCTCATGCAATGTCAGCCTCTATTAATTTAAAAAGCTTAATGAAGCATTACAGTTGCTGAGAAAACTAGAAAAAGAGTTAGAGCAATTAGTGATCTTTCAGTAAGGGATTTTCTAGGTGTGTTTTAACTGCAGACATAGAAAAATATGAGCTATTCCAGAGGTGGATTTTTTAAACTTTGTGTCAGATCTATTGAGTTGTAATAGTATTCAGTCTCCTTAAATTGAACAAATCCTGACTCATCTGTAGTGATTAATTGCTGGGGAATAGTTTGAGTAATTCTTACGGACTCGGTGCCTGAGTAACTATTTGATAAATGGTGATATGAGGCAATAGTTATAAAGGAAATATATGCAGTAAAATTATGGTATTCGATGGTGAAACATTTTGCACTTAAAAACTGTTGTTCCCTTATCTTTCTAGTCTTAACATCTTGCTAGTGACTGGTTCCAAAACAGAGAACTGGTTACCTCTTTCTTCCTTTACAGAACAGTACAGAAAGACAGTTCTCTAAGTGTGTGTATGCCTTCACCCTTTGTATAATGAATTACGAAAGAATTTAAAAAATAGGGGTAGCAATATACTTTCAGGAGTAAAAAATGTATTAACAAAATGTCAGTAAGATAAATAATGATTCTGAATTGAAATACATCATTGACTTGGCAGTACGCAAAAGGTAATTTCAGAGTTTTGTCCTGCAGCAGAATAATATTGGAAATGAGGAACATACTAGATTCAGATCTGACTATGTAGTGAAGATTATTTGAAAGAAATTGTGCCTGTATTATACATGACCATTATAAAGCTCTGTTTGTGAGCTCACTTCTCTTTCAATTTGTGTCTAAACAGGAGGGGAAAAAAAAGAGTACTTGGTGTATTTTTAAACACATGATTATAGATTCTTTTATCATTACCTAAAATAGTGTTCATTCAGTGAAAATTTCTATATTTTGTATTTTTAAAAGAATATAAGTTTTTGCTTTTAGCCTGTATACACAACTGCAACCACACTTAAAACTGCATTGAATTTAATCACTATCAAAAACAATTTGCTATGATCTGCAGCATGCTTTGACTTAGAACAACAAGAACTAACTTTTTAAATCTCCTGCAAAAAAGTTACATCCTTAATTGTAAATAACAAAATAGTAAAGTAAAATGGTGTACTAAGAGATTTAGTAGTCTCTACAGCTCAGTAGTTAACACTGCATTAATATTGTGTATTCTCATTTTAAAAACAGAAATATCCTTCTATCCTTCAGACTACAGTCAAATTCATCATATCTTTTAGCCAAAGATTTAGAATTTTTTTAAGAGGTAATACTACTTCAGTATCCCTATTTTTTTAACAATTCCAATAGCTAGAGTACCACAGTTGCCCTCGACTCCAAACTTCAGATGGGGGTTTTCACACAGCATGAAAACCAGGAAGTCTTTAATTTTGACTTAAAGACTTTTGTTATAAATCATCAAATGTGAATTTACACAAGAAAGGCAATGGCACTACACAGTTCCCTGAGCTACTTTAATTCTCTTCTGCTGCCTGTACCGTTCCCTCAACATTTAAGGGGAGAGAGGATCAAAGTTGCAGTGGTAACCAGTTCACGAAAATACTTTAGCTTAAAGTTAAATGTATGCCCATGGAACTCAGTGGTACTGCTGAATATTTTACTGAATATTTTGGGGCTGTCTTTCTCCAAAGTGAGACTGTATCATGACAATCTGACCAAAAGGTGCTGTAGCAAAGAAAGAGGTCAACAAAAGATAAGTGGAAAGAGTAGCACAGCTGGGGTTCATCAGAATCCTTTCTAGTACCATGTCAAATTCAGGGGAGGCCAGAGAACTAGAAAAGCAAGATCACATGAGACACAGTGCCATAAGATATTTTTGAAATGGCAGTTTTCTGTTATGCAGCTGGTTGCAATTTTCTTCCCCTACCTTGTCGTACTCCATCAGTTTTCCCAAGATATTCATGTAATCCATTTCCCCACTTTGCTCCCTAATCTTGAGCTGACTTAAGAGTTAACAGAATACAGCTGCTTGAGAATAGTTCTAGTCCGTTCTCAGCAGCTGACTGTTCCTAACCCTGGGCACAGGCTGCTCCTTCCAAGCTTTTTCACACAGTTTCCTCTTTTGGAGGAAACAGGCTTTGCTAGTCTCCACTTGCACTCTGCTAAATGAATTAATTTCAGAACCTAAATTTTGCTATGCTTTGATGAAAGAAAAAAAAAGTCTCCAAAACCCAAACAAAAGAAAATCAAAATCCATTCTACCTCCCTTTCATCCCCTATCTAACTTTGTAGCAACTTTGTGCTTGAAAGTACAGCATCTGTTCTTATGCAAGCTTTTGTGTCTAACTTTAATACTGTTTTCATGGAAAGCTTCCCAGAATCATAGAATGGGTAAGGTTGGAAAGGGGCCTTGGGAGATCACAGAATGGTTTAGGTTGGAAGGGACCTCAAAGATCATCTAGTTCTAACCCCCCTGCTATGGGCAGGGACACCTCCCACTAGACCGGGTTACTCAAAGCCCCATCCAATCTGGACTTGAACTATCTCTACCTGCCTTTGTAAAAAGTCCCTCTCCAGCTTTTTTATAGATGCCCTTCAGATACTGGAAAGCTGCTATAAGATCTCCCTGGGGCCTGCTCTTCTCCAGGCTGAACAACCCCAATTCTCTCAGCCTGTCATCATAGGATAGGTGCTCCAGCCCTCTGATCATCTTCATGGCCCTCCTCTGGACCTGCTCCAACAGGTCCATGTCCTTCTTATGTCAAGGGCTCCAGAGCTGGATGCAGTATTCCAGGTGGGGTCTTACCTGAGCAGAGTAGAGGGGCAGAATCACCTCCCTCGACCTGCTGGCCACACTTCTTCTGATGCAGCCCAGGATACAGTTGGCTTTCTGGGCTGCGAGCACACATTGCTGGTTCATGTTGAGCTTCTCATCAACAAACACACCCAGGTCCTTCTCCTCAGGGCTGCTCTCAATCCATTCTCTGCCCAGCCTGTATTTGTGCTTGGGATTGCCCTGACCCACGTGCAGGACGTTGCACTTGGCCTTGTTGAAATTCATGATGTTCATCATCTAGTCTAATAGCCCAGCTCAGAGCAGAGTCAGCTTGAGGAGGTTGTTCATGGCCATGTTTGATGGAAACTCCACAGTCCTGTTGGAAAACCTCTTCCAGTGTTTGATTGCCCTTGCTGTGATTTAAAAAAAACAAAACAACAACAAACCCACACTTATTTTTAAGTGGAATTTCCTGTAATTAAATTTTCTCATTGTCTGTAATTCTGTCACAGGGCACCTCTGAGAAGAATCTGAGTGTCTTTAGTCTCCCTGTCAGGCATTTCTAGACATTAAGATTTACCCCCTACCACACTCGCAGGCCTTCTCTTCTTAAAGTGAAAAGTTTTTCCCGTCTTGTTCTGAAATCCTTGTGGCTTACAGGCTATTTTCCTGTAAGTGACTTGTGTGTGCTATAGCGGTTGACAATGTGATGGTTAAAGGAGAAAAAAGAAAGCCAGTATTTTAAATGGTATCTTAGAAGAATGGTGACCAGAGTGCTACCCATCCATTGCTAACCAGAACCTGTTATCTTAGTGTCTGTTTAGCTACATCCCAATGGCTTCCTAACATACAACTGCACCGTTCTCCTTGCTTTATTGTCTTGTATATTTATTTCACATTTTCCAGCTGTAAGACTGCCTCTGCCCTAACAACTTTTCCCTTCAGGGAGTGTCTGTCAGATATACTTCATGGCTTGAGACATTAGGCCAGTGAAACAGCAGATTTGACCTCACAGATTTTTTGCCAGTTAGAAAACTAGCTTTTTTAAAATTCAGATTAACTTCTCTGTCCAAACAAGCTGCCCTTGTCATTGCTATTAGGTTACGGAATTCTAAATTAAATTCTCGGGTAAATAAAAAGATGTGAAACTTGAGATCTTTTTTCCTTCACAAAGCACCTAAATATGTGGGTTTAATACTATCACTCTTTGCAAACAATTTTAAGGTAAAAGATGCATTTTGAACTTCATATGCAGCAGCTATCATTTAACAGAGCAACGAATGAAGGAGTCTAGCTTACATACATTCTGTTCTGATTTCTGCCCTTCCTCCTTCACCACCCAAACATGTTTACAGACAGATGCACTCAAATTTGAGTTACTTTTGTGTTGTTTTTCACATAAGTTTATTACAAGAATTATATTTGCTGGGATGCTGTAAACCTCACTGGTCATCTGTGATGGGAAGGAAGTTTTCCTGCTAAGAAAACTTTCACTGATGCCTCTTGCCCCTATGTTTCATAGACACCTTTCCATGGTAATTTCTCTGCCCAGTGAGTACAGGAAAGGAAAGGGGATTCAGAGGAATAGACTGAAAACAGCTCAGGTTATCTGAGGTGGTTTTATCCATGTTCTGGATCACAAACTCGGTCCTGTAAGTTCCAGCCTCGGTCTGCAGTATGCATCGGCATCCAGAATGGTGTAAAGGTTAACAGCCCTGCGCTGGTACTGAGGTGGTAGTCAGGTGTTTGAACTCCCCTCTGTGTCTGCTATTATTTTTCTGCATACCCTGGTCAATATTTGATAGCATAAATGTCCCAAGAGAGACCATCTGCTCAGTTTGAAAAAAAAAAAAAAACAACAAACCCTCAAATGTTTACTTGGTTCTCAAGTGAGAAATGTCCCAAGGTACCTCATTTAAAATGGATGCTATTGGACATAATGCTGAAGGAAATGAAAAGATGTGGAAGAATTTTCCACTTTGAAATTTAGAAGTATGTGCCTGGACTTCTGTCATCTTGATGTAAATCAAGATCTGACATTTGTCTAAAATAAGCCTCTAGATGTAGTAACATCTGCATATTTTTCCTTGTATCTTTTGATCTACTCATGCCCTCTGCTACTTGACAAAGAAATTTTCATTGATTTTTATATTTCAAAAAGACTTAGCTTGAATAAGTGAACAAGTATGTTCTGTTTTATCGTGGATTTTTCATTATGCAATGCAGATTGGGAAACAGCAAATAGGTTAAGAGTTAGAAATAGGAGTTGTTGACAGTAATGCAATCTGTGGAATGTATCTGAAAAAGTCTGCTTAGCTGAGTTGAAGTCAACTATCTGCTGAGTTCAAAAGCAGCTGATGAATGTTAGGTTTATGTGACCTTGGTGGAACTCCATTCACTTCGGTAATCATAGGCTTCGTATCAGGAATTAATTAGCTGCATCATTTTGAAATGAAAAAAGAAAAGAAATACTTGCACATTCCAGCTCTAAAATCTCTCCGGCCTCCAGGAGTCATTCTTTGTTTTGCTTCTTCCTTATGTGGTTTATATGTACTGGTATAAAAAAGGTCAAAAAAAAAAAAAAAAAGCTACCATTTCAAATTGGTGCTTTTTACTCTTGCTCTTGACTTGTTCAACAGAAACTTGGTCGTGCAATTAGTATTCTAACTAAAACACCCTTTTTAAATTACGGTGTTTAGAAAGACCCTTGCAGCGCCTGCCCGCGCTCGGAAAGCGGCATGTCACCACCTTCAAAGCCAGGGCTTTTTCCGCCAAGGCGCTTCATACCAGATCTTTTGGTCCCCCGAACACGAAGAACGGCGGCGAGGAGCGCGTCCCCCCTCTCTTCCCCTGCCCGGCGCGGGGACGGGCGCGGGGCGCTCCCCACTCACCCGCTGCCCTGAGGCGGCGGATCTCTCCTTCGCCGCCCGCCCTCCTGCGCCGCCGGTGGCCCCTGCCGGAGCGGCCCCCGAC